ATGTTAGTCACCAGCTTCACTACAAAAAAGTTTGGTCATAAATTTTATGTATGTATTTTTTATGTATGTTTCCTGTATAAATCTTATATTTACAGGCCAGGTGATTACTTTCTTTTTTATACATTTAAAATGGCCACCCCTTTGGTTTGTAAGATGTGGGGAGTCAATTGAAGTTTTGAGAATTATTACACATGTGGAAAATGGAGTAAAAATAATTCCTATATCTTGATAAATTGATTTAATCTGAAAGTGCAATAGGCTACCATATCTTTCAGTTCTAAATACCTGTGACTTAAAAGTTTTGTGCCTTTGTACAATCACTGTGATCAGTTGTAATGCACACATGTAAATGATAAACTGAAGCAAATTGCACGTTTTTATTGAGAAATCTGAAGTTGTTCATAACATGTTTTGTAAAAGGATAGTCATTAAATAAAAAAAATATCCTAATGTGATTGTACTTCTTTCCACTAAAACAAAGGGGAAAACGTGAATTTATTGTTATATATAGCTATGATGAGCTATGATGATGAGCTATGCTATGATTTTAATGGTCCGGCCCACTTGACATCAAATTAGGCTGTATGCGGCCCCTGAACTAAAATGAGTCTGACACCCCTGGTCTACACTCTGATAGTATCACCCTTCACAGTGGTGAAATGCTTCTCATATGCTTGTCATTAATTTAAATGTTTGTTGACAAACTGCTATCCCACAAAATAATGCTGTAGTATGAAATGTTCCTTGGCCTTGGAAGTAGGCTAACACTGAGTTACTACTGTAGGTAGTATGCATATTAGCTGGATATGCTAACATTTGCAGAGTACAGCAGACAAACAGATTTGGTTCTTAGCTCTCTCCGTAATAAATATGGTTTTTGTCTGGAATGAAGCTGCTTCAAGTAGTTTTGTCTTTGTCTTTACTTGTACAAGAGAAGCTAGATAATGTGGTCAGGGCTTAGTGAAAACTCTGGCTCTTTGTCCTTTCAGGTGAAACTAGTTCACCCTAGTGAAGCTATAACGGTGCTGCGCAGGCTGAACAGAGAACAACCAGACAGAGTTCACTTCAAGACCCTCTTCCAGTCAGGCTCTGTTTCTGAAACTACTGCCTGTAACTGGTGCCTGCGTCCGAACCAGCAGCCACTGTGCAACTACACTGACGCACATACAGGTGAACCTTGGTTCTGCTACAAACCAAAGAACCTGAGCTGCAATACCAGGATCAAGTACGTCATGGGAGGATTCATTAAAAACCTCAAGGCCAATGAGGAGAAACTCTTTCAAAGGTGAGGGAGCAAATTGATAGGACTGATATTATGTGCTAATTTTAATAAATACATAATTGGAGTGTTACTTATGTCCAACTTTCTTTTGACCAGTTAATCTTTTACTCATATTGTTAATATTGTCATATGTATAACAGATATTTCATTATATGTGCTTTCCATCAGTGATGTCAATATGAAAGTCCCCATTCGGGCTTCAGGACCTGCTGCTGTCACTGTGTTGCCAAACAAGACAGGTAGATCACAGTGTTTACCACCACTACCAGTGCATATAATAACAATAAAATTCAATGTTAAAAATGCAAGAAAATGACACAGAACACACACACACACCCAACTGAACTGCCACTTTCCTGTGGGGTTGATGTTTTTGCCGGCATTTGCTGGTTTGTTTGGTTGTTTGTTAACACCATAACCCAAAAAGTAATGAACTGATTTTGAGAGGCAGGATATGGCCCACGGAAGAATTGATTCAATTTTGATGCTGATCTGTAACGTAATTTGGATACAAGAATAATTCAAATAACTTAAAAGATTATTAACAATAATGAGAGTTGGAAAAGCTGTTGACTGTGTGTCAAGCTACCAAGATACCAAGCTAGCTCTATTAGCAGGCAGCTACATAGCATTAACAGCACAGTAGTCAGCTGGCGAGGATGCTGGTGTTCTAGCTAACATTCAGACTAATAATGATACCAGCATCATTCCAAATGCCATGCTAGATTTTCATCATCAAGCAATCATATTATGAGGGTCAAACTACCAGGGGAATGTTGCTTTTATGGCAATATGGGAAAAATGGGTTGCCCCTTGGTGGAGGTTTGCACTCTCTGAGTGTTGTCTAGTTACACTTGTTCTAGTGACTATTATAGCAGTTAGCAGGTACACTAGTCTCAATTAGAAGTGAAAGCAGGTTGCTCTTCCATTTTGCAGACAGGATTCTACTTTCATGCAGGGTTTGTAGAATCCAGCTAGCTTATTATCTTCATACCACAACATTTTAACAATCATTATTTACATCTGTTATTAAATGGTGAACTTCCTCTCAGGTCAACCAGAGATGAATAAAAATGATGTGACGTTTACACCATCCGGCTATTACTACCAGGGTGTGTGGCGAGCACTAGGAGGCACCACAATTCGTCAGTTCAGCACCTCTACCATCAGTCAGTGTCTGAAAGGCAAGATGGTCCACCTGTATGGAGACTCCACTGTCAGGCAGTGGTTTGAATATTTGACCAATACACTACCAGGTAGATATTCACAGCAATTTCTGGCAGCAGTTTGATTTAATTGACACTGATGCTTAACTTGTTACTTCTGTAATATGTTTAGATCTCAAGGAGTTTAACCTGTACAGAAAGAACCTATTTGGACCTTTATTGGCCTTGGATCTAGCAAACGACATCATGGTGACCTTCCGCTGCCACAGTTCTCCTATCATCTTTCACACAATTCCATTTGCCCAGGTGCGTTACATTGCCAATGAAATAGATGGAATAACTGGAGGCACCGACACTGTTGTCGTTGTTTCTGTCTGGGCACATTTTTGCCCTTTTCCCATTGAGATGTACATCCGGCGGATGCAGAACATCCGCAAGGCTGTGGTGCGGCTGCTGGAAAGGGCTCCAGGTACACTGGTCATCATCCGGACTGCAAAC